CTTAATAAAGTCCTTATCAGTGACTTATAAACTTCGTATGGAATTTTCAATGTTACAAATTGTGACTATCATCGAACTGTGGTAACGTTATCTTTATAATTACATGGAATAGGTATGAGTAACAGACTGCACCTTTTTGATTATTTTCCCTAAACAAATGAGACATATGCGTCTAGGTAAAGTCAAACCGCTAAATCATGATAATTGTTTATAAGTCGATAAAACTACAATACCTATTACTTGATAAATTAGGATTTCCGTAAATTTATCGAAAGGGTGACATCATCGCGGTTTTGTATTCCTCATTGGGGTTAATTGTGGATTATCTGGTATCTAAGTACCACAATTGTAAGCTTTAAATCTTATACAGTGTGTTAGGAATTTCCGACACTTTACCCAAATGTTAGATTTACATTTAATTTTATAGACAGAAATTCCATGCATGTTTTTCAAATATTACGTAAACTTTATGATACGAAATATACTTCACGTCTGTCTCCCATGGGGGCAGGCAGAGACTGTGCGGTACGGCATTCCTACATACCTCTTTCGCTTCATCAACAGTTATCAATATTTTCACGCATACTCGTTGGCCGCTTTTAATTTAATTTTTAAACTTTTAATTTTCAATTTTTAATTTGGCCTAATTATAATATACCGCCAGTAAATATATGTCCATCTAGAGCCCCCTCTACCGTCGGCCCCAATAAAATCCGCTCTGGAACTCTTTTCAAAATGTTAATTATTATGCAATTTTCTATCACTAACCTCATATTATCATCTTTGCAGATTCTCATTAGACTCAGCTGGTGCACTCCTAGATGGTACAGAAACGATGTTCGGAGGATCGACCAGTCCTAACGGTCCTGGTGAGATCATGATGCGAGGTCGCCACGTGTTCATGGGCTACCTATGTGACGAAGCGAAGAGTAAAGAAGCCATCGACGCGGAGGGCTGGCTTCATTCTGGAGATATTGGCAGGGTTGACAGCAATGGACTTCTTTACATAACTGGAAGAATTAAGGTATGAGTTTATTATTTTTTATTTATTATTATTTATTAATAACAAAAGTTCTAAGGTATGCCTTACAATTTAACGCCATGTCCAACAAAACTATACATAAATAGTTTGACTGGTGGAGTTTTCAATCTTCATTTTCAGTGCTCTAAGTTCTCACTGTAATGTTAAGTTTATTATCATGCTGTATGCTTAATTACTGTTTATCACAAAAGACAACGTAAAAACATAACGATGATGATCATAAATCAATTATGGCAAAGTCAATGTATTTATTTCAATTATTCCTTAATTTAGGCACTTTTGAAACATCGCTAGGTTCCAAAGTTTCGAATGGAGCAAAAAACTCCATCGTTACTCTTATAAAAAAATGTTTTTCGCAATTTCCTAATAGGTATAGTCGTCCCGCCTAGGTGTAGCTACTAAGTAGTACCTAGGTTTGACAATAAAATTAAAATATTACACATCGTACAGAACTTACGATAGTTGGAATAGGTAATTCCCTAGTTTTCTATATTTCTTTCAATCATTGTATATCTAATTACCTACATTACCTATTTTTTTCTTACAGGAATTGTTGATCACTGCGGGTGGTGAGAACGTGGCTCCTGTGTTGATTGAACAGGCGGTACAGGCTGAACTACTGCACATCGGCTACGCTGTACTCATCGGTGACCGACGCAAGTTCCTCTCTATACTACTAACTCTAAAGGTAGTTTATGCATTTACAGTACAAAGTATTAATTAATATACCTATTCTACAATGCGACGATTTGTCGATGGAACTTGATAATAGTAGAAATGAACCTGGATAATAGTAGATAGTCGGGTACTCGTCGGCTCATCAAGAGACTCATGGGTCAAATCAAAAAAAGTAAATTTCAAGTTTCAAATTCATTTGGTAAATTAAAATCATTATTTTTTTCAGGCTAAAGTGAACTCTGAAACCAGTGAAGCTCTCGACGACTTAGACAATGAAACAAGGAAATGGGTTGCCAGCCTCGGTAGCAAAGCTACGAAGATTAGTGAAATTGTTAACAGTAAGGACCCTGCTGTAAGTGTAACCAGTAACCAAATCTCAGAATTATATTAATCTAACTGTTGAATACACGTTTTAAATGATAAATTAATTGGTCTTCGCAGGTCCACAAAGCAATTGAAGAAGGTATAACTCGCGCCAACAAACATGCAATTTCCAACGCGCAGAAGATTCAAAAATTCGCCATCCTTCCCGCAGATTTCTCAGTACACAGTGGAGAACTAGGTATGTAGAAACTTAAGTGAAAACAGAACTATTGCAACAATTTTTTTTTTATTTACTTATATAAACACCCGAATACTGAAAGGTTTAATTTAACTTAAATATCGTGCCATCTCTATCATTTTACATCAAAAATGTAGTGACAGAACTTGTATATACATAAGCGCGATTTAAAATTGAGTAGCTGGTATTCGAGTAAATGTTCAACAATACAAACAAATATCTTAATTATAATTTTGTTTCCAGGACCAACGCTGAAAGTGAAGAGAAACGTAGTCTACGAGAAGTACAAAGACATCATAGAGAACTTTTATAAGGAATAAACAGTAGGATTAGTGTTTAAGGCGAGGGACAACGTAATAAATAATTGTTAACTTAATTCGTTATTGCTCAACTAGGGACTAGCGCATCGGAATCAATGTGATTGATAGTACTTTACGTAAAGGTGTAAATAGGTTATATTTTTGTTACAAAAAATATATTTTATAAAATCTAATGGTGGTTTTAATGCTTGCACTCTGGTATCACTGTCTTCCATATGAGTACACAAGAGTAAATAACTCTTAGAACATCTTCAGACCTACATTTCAACTATCGTTGTCATTAACCTCTATCTATTTCACCTGTTTGTGTTCATCTGTTGCGAAAGTAACATAATACTATAATTGTGTTTATTTTGCATCTAAGGGCCGATTGTTCTTTTATCAGAGGAATAAATTTAAATATTTGTCGAATCTTCCATATTAAAAACTGTCAAATGTCAATTATACAATAAAGACATACATAACTGATGATTAAAAAATCGGCCCTTAATAGATGCACTGTATGATCACAGCATCCAAATGAAAGAGGATCCTGTGGTAATAAAAATCTAAATAAATGACTTTAAATGAAAGACTCTGTAATTTATAATATAAATTTATTGGAATGGACAATATTACATGTAAAGAAAGTAATAAAAAGACAACGATTGAATACAATTGAATAAAGATGTCAGGTAGATATTTTTTATAATAATACTTAAAATTAAAGGATAATGTCATATCAATAAAATAAAGAATCATGGCAGAATTCATACAAAATAAATTCATAAAATGATATATTAGTTGGAATGATAACAATAATTGATCTTCAAAAGTCCTTAATAGAGTTAGAAAGTAAGTATTAAAAACAATTTTTAATCTATTATATAAAAATTAAACCTGTTTCCCGTTGTCACGTCATAAATTGAAAACGACAAGATCGATTTGGGTGATTTTTGTTTTTGTTGTGTTTATTATTGTCAGGAGAAGGTTCTTATGAAAAAAAGTCCAGAAAATCCTACGGGAACGGGAGAAAACGAGATTCCGCGTACGTAGTCGCGGCCACAAGCTAGTGTCATATAAACTGTCTTACGCCCAAATACTGAAAAGCTACTAGATTTTATATTATTATTGATTTAAATATAGTGCCATCTCTTTTTTTTCGTGTCATCTCACTGTACAAAAAATTTGTATTGATAGATAGTTAAATGTGACTTAAAGTTGTTTAAGTATTTCAGAGTTATTTATTAAATTAACGTATGTGACAGCCATGACACTTGTAGGAGCGTTTGCGCTTACCTAAACACCGATATATACAATATTACTATAATGAAATACTATCAGATGTATCGATATCTAGGCAAACAGCAAAACTATCTTGCAGCCTTTACTAGATGGAATATAATAAGGTAATTATTTTATTAACTACGTTTGAAAAAGCCAATTTCAACCCCCCTCTTTTTTTAGGTCGGTTTTTAAGTGTAACAAACACTTTCCTGAACACCATATCTAAATCGGTTCAGACAATCGCATGATAATAGCGCAGAAACATAAATACGGGTAAAACAGAGAACTTCTTTTTTAAAATCAGTTAAAATGTGACTAACAGGATAATTTATTCAAAATAGACCATACATAAAACAGTTACATATACATACATAATATATAAATATACATAAAATAGAGCTGCAAGACACCCATTAATTTAAATACGAATATTATAATAATAAAATGTCCTTAACATAATTCCAACTAATATTTTCTATATCTGGACAGTAAGTACATAGGTCCGTGTAACATGTCGGAATGCATCACAGAATGTTTAGATTCATTTATCTATATATTTTTATCTAATATATTTCCTATAAAATAAGCATTTTGCATCACATGTATTTTAAGGCAAATAATTATAATCAAGCAAAATATTACATTTGATGCGAAGTTCAGTGACCTTTCTGACAGCTCAACATAACGTACAGGTCAGATGCTCAGTGTAAAGTGAACCTTCCATTCATAACAATATGGTATATTTTTCTCTACTAAAATATTTTTTTTTAATATGTTTTCTTAGGGATATAATGGAATTAAAAGCTCACTAGGTATGTTAAAATATTGTCGCAATTTCATTTGGAATCAGATTTGTCAAATAAACTAAAATTTCAATTCCTATAGTGATAGTTTACATGGGAATGCTTTCATACATTGGCAGTTTTTATATATATATGTTGGGTCGACGTTTGACCCCTATCTCGCCTGTAGGAAAGTGGTGATGCGGTCTACGATGGAGCACGTCATCCCATAAGCAACCTATTCACTCGGGCCTTGAAGACACCCAGCTTATACACTTCAGGAAATACAGTTTTATGTTTCATGATGATGATTACAATCAAAAGTTTTATATAACACTAAATAATTATTAAGTACATTGTTCAATGATTATATTTATCTATAACTAAACTAATAAAATCGATAAATTTTAAAATACTTAAGCTAACAACTAGTCAAACACACAAAAAGATATAGTTAGTTAAGTGAATATTAAAACTTAATAATAATAATAAATCGCAGTAAAATATGTCATTAATATAATAATACAGTTTATATGAAATAATAATGATATGACGCTATAACTTTTTAATCTAGCTACCGTAGTGTAACTAAACAAAGAGTTTAAATGAGCAATAATACTTTAGGCAAAACACTGGCAACTTCAAAAGAAGGCGTTAAGAAAAAAGATAGAAGCCATAAAATAATTATGACGACAGAAACAATAAACGCATGAAATATTGTTGTCTCACTCTAACAGCTAGAACTTTAGTATAGAGTGAATAGAAAAGAAAATGTAATGGTTTAACATATTTGTCATACTTCATCAAATGACAGCGTGTATGTCATTTATCATGCCATTTCGAGATTATGGCGAACCCTCTGAGGAGACGAGACTCACAGTCGAACAGTGAATCGTAGCTGTTGGTAATATTTTATACAAAGTTCAGCAATTGATTGTCAGACTCGATATTATTATACCATTTGGCTTATTGGACGTAATTTATATCAGAATTTTCTCATATAGGAAGATCAAGGAATTTTCTTACCGCTTAATTTTGATTACTAGGTTTTTGCCTTTTGTTTTAAATATCGTATGTTTTAAGTCTAAGGTTGAGAGGGCGGGGCGGTGTGTGGTAGCGGGGGTGGTGCGTCGGCGAGTGGAAGTGGTTTGGCCACTCCGATGCGGACTACTCCACGCGGGGCGCCTTTCAATGCTGCCACTGCTTGTTCTAGACTTGCGTCTTCCAAGTTCTGCGAGAATCGAGAAAAATTTTTTTTAGCATAACTGCCTAGTTGTCGACTTGTCGCAAGTGCGACTGTCGAGCAAGGGGTCTCGGGTTGGATTCCTGGATCAGGCAAAGTATTACTGGGTTTTAAAAAAAAAATCTCAGTAGTAGCATGGAGTCGGGATTTGTGCCCTGTATATGGTCACTATCAATACATAGTATAAAACAAAGTCGCTTTCGCTGTATGTCCGTATGTATGCTTAGATCTTTAAAACTACGCAACGGATTTTGATGCGGTTTTTTTTAATAGATAGAGTGATTCTTAAGGAAGGTTTGTATGTATAATACATGCATATTGCACCCGTGCGAAGCCGGGCCGGGTCGCTAGTAATAGATATAATAGACTCACTTCCTTCCCTCCCTTCCCTTCCCTTCCTATCCCTTAGTGGATAAAAAGCGTGATATTATGTTTTAGCGTATTAACACTTTCCAAGTGTTCAAACGTGAAAAGAGTATTTGGAGATATATTTTTGAATACGATTCGTCTCAATTTATGGATAAAATTTTAGTAAACACACGTTTTACCTTTTTATGTAATGTTTTTGTTCTTCAAGCCTGTTTAACACTAGAAAGACGGAAAAAATCATCTACCTACAAAGACGGCGAGCGGTCAAATGACTGCTCCAAGTTTTTTTGATATTTTTTTATGTTTAAGTGCTAGAAATGGTACCTATAGTATTAAACATGGTATAATATACTTTTATTTAAGTAATATGTATAGAATTTCTAATTTTATCATTTTGTTTACATTACAAAAGCCGCAAAGTGGCTTTTTGCAATTGTCGCATTCTTTATGGGTTTTTTATTTGCATTTATCTATATAATATTTTGGAATTTACTGGATTTTGTGCAGAAGATTGTGAAGTAAAAGATCTAGACTATTCAGGCAAAGATTCAGTTTCAGAGAGTCTTCTTCAATTTATACTTTGCTTCTAAGTTCGCCCCCTGAATTTAGTATAAATAGCCTTTGTTTCATGTAATATTCTACATTTTCCTATACCAAATGAAGGAATTATATCTAAAAAGGTAAATTATCTAAATTATGTTATATCTTTGCTAGGTCTCGAATATATAAAAAAATCTATTTCACCTTTGAGATGCTCGTAACATTTTGACCAGTATTTGCAAAAAGTTTCACAAGACGCATCTGTATCAACAGATTCATCGACATTTGACCACTTAGAGTTGATGCCATTTGAGGTGTGTACAACATACAGTCGATAGTTGTGAAAAGACCTTGATGCTCAGGATCTTCCAAACTCCTTTCACAGCCTTTATCACTACCACAGCAACGACTACAACCACGAGAATGCGATCTGTCAACGTCTGATAAATTTGCTCGTAGTATCTGGTCTTTCAGGTCACTTCCGTCCGTAGAGGAATTCGAACTGCCAAGTAGTACCATATAATCGTCGTCGCTATCACGTTTTGTATTTTTAGAGTCAAAATCAGACTCATCTTCACAAATATTTTGGAAGTAAAAAACATTTTTTCATTTTCAAGACTCCAACACGTCGCGGCCACAAACTAATTTCAATAATTTCGTATAAGTTCACAGACACTTGAAATGATACGGTCTCATTTGATAAGCAAACTATAAACAATGAATTAGTGTACATAATTTGTATTCTACCCTCTCATATTACACTTATAAACACTCATTGGTTGTCAGCAGTCAAATGACTGCCGCCGTCTTTGTCGGTAGATCAAGATTTTAAATAATTAATAAAAGAGTTATGATTTATTTTCATACATAGTTGCATTCAACTAGTAAAATAAATAAAAGTCACAAAGTCTCAGTTTAAAAACTCAAGTAGATTTCAAGTTATTCAACATTTAAAATCAAATTGCGGTCAAATGACTGCTCCCGTCTTTCTAGTGTTAAATAACGTTTTTACCAAGAGAAGTTAAGACACTGGACTCGACCTTAGTTGTTATTAGTCTGATGACATTCAATAATCAAATGTACAAGACATTTATTTCGACAACATACCTGATCATTGACGAAAAGCAGTCTATCCCCAGGTATGAGGCGGCCATCTTGCTGAGCCACTCCGCCCGGCACTAGGGAACGGATTACCACCAGTGTATGTGACGGTCGCAGCGGGTCCTGGTAATCCAGGATCGAGAATCCCAAACCACGCTCACCTTTCACTAGTTCTGGAAAATACAAATATAATGTTATTAAATACGTGAAAGTGTCAATTCCATCAAGAAATTGCAAAGTAAGGTGGTGATCCTGGTTGGGAGGAGTAATTAAAACTATACAAAGGACACCCATCAGCAACGAACGATAACAACTAAATACAATTGCAAAGATTTTGAAGTGAAATCGATTTTTGACATTAACAGCAATAAGCTCATTTTTACAATTGGGTAATTTCCTGGGTCAATAAATAAATTATATTAATTTTTCAGTCCAACTAAATATTGAAAAATAGTTACACTTTCATTCATTGATTTGACGATATACTTAATTTTCGATTCATTCTAGCATTTCTTTTTTAGATATAAGTGTGCTATTTGACGCGAAAATATGATGACGTCATAAGATTGTCTTTCGTACAAAATTTATAGAACAGTATCGTTTTTGACGTTTCGATAAAAGTATTGAATTTGACTAGTTGTCAACTACCGTATTGTTAAAAAAATACATTTCTCTATTTTACAATTACAACCAATTTTCACAAAAATATCACTATCGTATCGTAAGTCTTACCTATGATTTGTGGTTCAGATGACCACATGGCGAGACCAGTTAAGGGTTCCAAACTGCGCGAGCGTACTTTTCCACCGGCCGATAGTGATCCTCCTTCTTCGGCGCCTGCACCGGCCAGACTTCCATCTGATTTGGCCTGAAAAATTTTAGGATAGATCAAAATTTCGTTACGAGGCTTTATCATCTACTGTTACTTGTACATTGTACAATTGAAACAGCCAAATACGCCGTATTGGGTTAAAGTGCTGGGCCGCGCAAAGTATAGTGTAGAATTGTGCCTGGCAATGAGCTTTTATAAAGAACTCACTCGTAAGTAGGTCACTGGTATAAAGTGATACTTCGAATATACATATCTCCAGCCTATTCTTTCGGGGATTAAATGGTGTGATGTAATTTGATCTAATATGTAACCACTATTTGAATTATGCACTATTTTCTTTCACAATGACGCAGATACATGTATCTACTGATTAATACATAGATAATAGATACCCAGATTATTGAAAGAATGTCTAATTAATTACATAAGTTTTTAAAGGTTTCAACATTATCTCCAGACATAATAAAAAATATTATAATTTGATAAATACGTAACATGTGTTGAGGATTAATTTCTCATTCATTAATTATACACCTGATTAGATGGCAATCAATCAGACGACGGAAGCAGTTTTTACCTAATACATTATAATCTAATATTTCGGAATTACCCAGGGGCGTGCACAGAGATTTGAAGTAGGGTAGGCAGAAGGCATGATTTAAAAAAATTTGGTCTACATTAATCTCGGAAAATAAAACTCCCGAAACATCATAATTTTGAGTAGGTAATTAGGTTTAGTAAGTATTTTATTAATTTGTATAAACAAATTAGGTACCTATATAATTATTTTCAAACTATCCGTGTATAAAGTTGATCAACATAAATACCTAGGTATCTATTTTACAAATCTAACTAGGTACCTACTTTGGAGCGGCGAAGTACAAATGGCTACACATCAAGCTATGCGACACCAGTATAAACTGACCGTTAAATGCATAGAGAAATCGTACAAAGCGAGATCAAGATGACTGGATTTTAAAAACAATAATGAAATTGGTACACAACCAGTGCTAACAAACTATACGTATAATCGCAAATCGTAGTTTATTAAAAGAAATAATAAAATTATTACCTTTTTTGAGTTACGCCTAGCCCGGACATACGACACACGCAAAATCGCCTTTGGAAATATTTTCGTTTCTTCTTCGAACGACAATAAGGACAACGCACTCATATTTAATTTATTGAACAACACAAATCACCAGCACAGAGCTCACAGCTATAATTTTACATAATTTTCGGTAAATTAACAGTTCATTTAAATTATAATTCATTACATTACAATTTATTCACTTGCACATAAAAACATAACCAAAACAAAATGGCCAAAAAAAACGTAAACAATAAGTTGACCAAAATTAATATATCTATTTTCAATCAACAAACGCTACGTTTTGTTGACTTCTTAAATTAGTCGGATAACGAAGAAGCAGTGCTTTTGCAGTTGTATAGAAATTACCAACCTAACAAAAAAAAAATCCAACATCAGCACGAGAAAACAAGCAAATTGTACCGGCTACGCATTAGTACATGCTTCCGCCACCATCACACAATAGCGAGGTGGCGGCGCCACTGGCGCAATGCTTCAATATATCGAAGAAAGTAGAAAGTGGTTGTAGTACTTCAATATTTTTTCGATAGATGGCGTTAGTGACCAGTTTTTCAAATTAAGTATCAATAAAATTACGAAATCTCTGTATGACGTCAGTAAATATTCATGTCGTGTTTATGAGTGACACTATGTATTTGACTATGTAGGTTTACCATGATTTTGTAGGGTATGCAGTGCTTATTTGCATGTATGGTGTGCACGCCACTGGAATTACCCATTTTCTATGATAATCATGTATATAGGAATATGTTTTTATCAAAAACATATTTATTATATGTATCGGAAACTTTAATTCAAGAATCCTATACCTAAAATATTAAATTGATATGTTAAGTTAGCTTTTAAATTACGTAATTTTCGATTGATTGAAGAGTTTTATCACAAGTTTACCTATTACTACTAGTCGTAAGCATCATAGAGATATTCGTGCACTTTATGTATGAATTGAATAGATACTATGAGATACCAAGATTATTCAAAGTGAGAGGTATAAATAATACCTACTTTCCACCAACTATTCATATAACAAAACTCACGGCAAACTCATATAATAATAATATCGGTTTTCATTAGGTTTTCAAGAGTAAACAGTCATTCGTAGCAATTGGTGAAGTTAAGAGTATCGTTCTGTCGCGAAGAACCTAACGGGTAACCGGGGCTCCAGCTCGACGTGCAGGAGAAGGAACGGGGTGGTTTTTAGTCAGTAAGAGTCTGACACATAGTCCCGCCTCACCCAGGCGGGAGCAGTCATTCGATGATTTCCCCCCTTAAAATAAAAAAAGAGTATCGCTCTGTCAAAACGCTGGTTATATTATGACCAAATGATACATAATTATTATAGGAGTAAGGTATTGTCCATTAATCATATGAGACTCAACAAGGGGATGAGGGTTCGACAAAATATCGTGTGTATTTTTTTTTCGTCAAATTTTAAAACGCGGTGGGTTTATTTTTCTTTATTCACGTCACTGATAAAACAAAAGAATAAATAGACTTTTTGGTTTTCTTTTGTCAATATCAACAGCCTGTGACAATACACTGTTCAACTGTAGGCCTCTTCTACGAATTTCGTAGTGTATGTTTTTGAAAGAGATTAACGCCATATAAACATAACATCACGCCTTTTATCCCCGAAGGGGTAGGCAGGGGTGCACATTACGGCACTTAACCCCTTATTTGCCGGTATATGAGACATAATAGAAAACACATTGTGTCTCGCGTATACGTCCTCAGCATACCAAGGATTAATGCCATTGTAATTGTACAGTGGCATTGAGTGTTGTAGTGAAAAATGGGTGTTACATTGGTAACACCCACTTTTCACTATTTATGTTTGAGTACTATGTAATAGGGTATGAGCCTATTGTCATATAGGGGCAAGTCCCTTAATGTCGGACGGCAGCTAACGCCGGACACTTGTATTTTCTCAATAACTAATAACGCGAACGATTCAATTTTTAGAGGAAGTCTTCTAGTGGCAGATACCCAAGATTTTTAGTAAAAATTGAATCGCTCGTGTTATCAGTTATCAAAATAATACGAGTGTCCGGTGTTAGGTGCCGTCCGACATTACGGGACTTTCCCCTACCGGGCACAATTCCCGGCTCCGTGCTACACCTGAGAATTTTCAAGCCAAATAATACTTTGTTGCATAGAAAAAGTAAGTGGTAGTGACCTTGACGAGCGTGGGCGCGGGCGGCGCCAGGTCCAGCGGCGCGGGCCGCGGCCGCGCGCACACCATGCACACCTCGCTCGACAGCTCCTTCAGGATCGACACCACCTCCAGGTGGTTCATGCCCAGCAGGCGGTGCCCGTTCACCTCTGTGGAACACTCTCACGTATTTATAGTCTTCTCTCATAATGACGTTTCCTATAATAAATCCGAAATAGACCATCTCCAATCCCCCAAACGCTAGCAACGCATTTGTAACGTCTCTGTTCGATTAGGTGTCTGTAGGCGGCGCCGGTTGCTTACTATCATAAAATTGTGTGTATGCATCTGGCCCGATTCATCACCTACTAGTTTTATTTAAAAGTGCTCAATAATTACATAGAGCAAGGATTTAACCAGGATGTGGTTCACCTATTATTATGCTAGACTTATAATGAATGTAACTTAAAAACTGCCTCATTGGCCAAGAGGTCGGCCACAATATTACTTACTGAAATTAAAAAAACCAGTAATACTGTGCTACTACATGGAGTCTGGAAATGTGTCCGGTATACGGCAATAGGCTCACCCCCTATTACATGGGACTCATAACATAAATAGTGAAAAGTGGGTGTTACATTACAGTGGCATTAAGTGCCGTAATGTGCACCTCTGCCTACTCTTTCGGGAATGAAAGGTGAGATGTTATGTAACTTAAATAAATTGAACAGAACGTAAACTAATGTAACCAGCAAAATGTGTAATGCCAAACCCTATTGTAATAATCTACACCTTCGTCATTATAACAAGATTCTTACCGAGCAACTCATCCCCAGGTCGATGCACTCCGGCGCGTCCGACCGGTCCCTCCGGCAACACAGACCTCACGTAGTGATGCGGGCGGACCTCCCTCCCGCCCTCCACGTCCACTGTACCCTCCAGGGATATACCCAGCCCACCGCCACCGCGGACTACTACGCCGACGACGATCTCTACCTCGTCGCCTAGAGAAATAATACAAATTTTAATTTGATTAACACATGCACATTTTGGTAGGTACCACATATTTCTTAAATTATGTACTAGATATTTATTGTACTAATTATGTACTAGATATTCATTGTACCACATATTTCTTAAATTATGTACTAGATATTTATGTAATGGCAAAGTAATTGAATTAAATAAAATAAAAATAAAAATGTACTGTCGACACGAGGCTTGTCAAGAGCGAAAAAAGTCTAAGGGCCAATTTTTCAATCATATGTTAACTTTTGACTGTAGAATAAAACTGTACTAGTATGGAAGAATTGTCAAATTTATTATCTAAGCATTGAAAAATTGGCCCTAAATGTTTTATTGTTATGGGATAGGCCGGTTAATGATCAGACGGATCACTTGAAAATTTTAATCTATATAAATAAAAATGAATTGTCGTTCGTTACTCTCGCTAAAATTTGAGAACGCCTAAAACCGATTTGGCTAATTTTGGTCTTGAAATGTTTGTGGAAGTCCAGGAAAGGTTTAAAAGGTGACAATAATATTTTTAGGCTGTACGAAGTCTACCGGGTCAGTTAGTACAATAATATTAAATATTGTAATGTTTGTTTACCAAGTATAGCCTGCCACTTCCTCTTGATGGCGTCCTTCTGTTCCTGAGTGCGTGGCATGTCGAAGGCAGGCTGCGCGCGCGCACTGCTCGGCGCCGCCGGGGGCTCCTCGGGGGCGCTCTCCACTGACACACTGCATAGTTAACAACATCACCTCAGTTCAATAACTATAGTTGAGGCCAACTTTCTTTGACGTTCAATATGAATAGTTCCTTGATGAAACTTTACGGGCTAATAAATATTATAGAATTATTGTTCAGGGCCATAAAACTACTCTGAGTATACTATGGTTTATTTACGTAGATACAAACAAAGAACCAACCCGTTGACTTAGCATGGATACTAAGAGTCATAATACTAAGAGAGATATAAAACTAAGACCCATATTTTGAACTAGAGACTATGGAGTCTAGTTGGGAACTTTCACTGTTGGTGTAAGTATAAGTTAGTACTTACGAGTTATGTAGCTGTGCCATGGGTATGTCATGTTCGGGCGAGGGCATCGTGTCAGGGCGGTGCATGCGTAGGAATGGGTTGTGTGGAGTCGCAGTACTGGCCGCGCTCTCCCCTGCCGCTATAGCCTGCTGTAGCTGCTCGAATTTTGGACCGCGAAGGTATCTGTGTAAAGAAAGATATATTATTACATTAATGTCGATTAGGACGAGTAACTATTAAATAACACTTAATAACTAAGCTAATAAAAAATCACTTCATTTTGAATCGACGAAAACGATCATCGTTATAATTTCTGAAGTGATCATTTTCATAGAAACTTCAATATTAATTTCATTTCGAAGATGATAGTTTAATGAGTGCTAGGTTAAAATCAGTGCATTTTAACTGAGCACTGGCTTTTTTGCACCGTGTACATTGTTTCAATTTTCCATCAATTTTGAAGTAATTTACCTTTCCAATTCCAGTGTAACAATGTTCCCACTCTGTTTGAGTGCGTCGACAGCCCGTTGGTTGGACTTGCCCGCGAGCGAGACGCCGTCGACGGCGACGATGCGATCGTTGACGCGCACCTTGCCACTCAAAGCCGCCGCGCTACCCGGCGTTACCGACTTTACGAATATTCCCGAAAGTTCCTCTTTTTCACATACATAGCCTGGAAAAAAATAAATATAATATAGATAACATTAAAGTATAATACTGTTTACTATTATTTTCAAGCTTTTAATGTCACACTCAGATGTAAATGCTAAGAAAGCAATCAATTCGCACTCTGTTTTTGGTAATAAGCTCCGGTGGAATGGAACTGGAAATTCGTCTATGAATCTCGAACAATTTCCACAAGTATGAATTGAACTTAAAAAATACCTGCAATAGTAATTCCGAGTCCATTTTCGTCTTTCTTCAGCTGCACTGTGAATCTATCGACTTCTGGAGACTCCGCATCTACGAATTTATATCAAATTAATATTACTTAATCACCAAACTTCTTATGACTCCGAGTTAAACAAATATTCACTGACACAAAATCACTTAAACACAGTATTTACCTGCATCAGGTGGGGGTGTAATGGATCTATCGAATACAAATCTGGAGGCATTGTTGTGTGGGACTGGTGTAGGTTGAGTGTGGAACACTTGTTCGAAGCCTGCGTCTAGTAGGTAGCGGTCCAGAGCCTCAGGGTCTGACAGGAGCCTGTAATAAAAAAATGAATTTTGAAGTTTATTGCAAAACAATAAGGTTGAGAATCTATTACCAAATTTGCAATGATCTGAGTAGTTATTTGATAGATCTATGAAATACCAAAGCATTCTATAGCAGAACTGCAAATACCAATATACGAAATTGATAGACACAGTGATGTAATTGCTAAGCCATGATGATTGACTATTTTATTACCGACTTCAAAAGAAGGAGATAGTATGTTCGGCTGATTGTTTATTTTTTATTTATTCGCGCATTATAATTGGGGATGATACAGTAAAATATTAAAAAATAATCACATTTTCACTAATTGATTTTATGACCAACTTAATTATAGTATTTTTCCAGCAAATTTTTAAACAATAAGTACGCTGTTTGACGCTAAAAAACGTAACGTCACAATACACAATCTCGTACAAAATCCATAGAAAACTGTCGTTTTTGAAAGTTCCAAAAAAGTATTGAATTTGACTTGTTGGAATTGAAAATAAATCAAAATTAATACAAAATCATCTTCACCCTTTGCAGTAGAATCACTAAAACTCACCGAATACAACAAAGATAGAACATTCAGCCGTACACTACCTAAAAGTAGACTGACTGAGAATGCTGTTTGTATTAAGGTCGCCGTTATGCAATTTGTATACAAACAACGTGTTACAAATAAAATAAATAAAGATGTTACACTTATCTTTATTTATTTTATTTGCATGCACTTGTATATAGAGTTTTAAATAAATAAATAAACATATTGTGCCTCGTTGGCCGAATATTCTCAAGTGTCATGCCGGACAAGGGGGTCGAGTTCGATTCAAAGGTCGGACACATTAATACTGGGTTTTTTTTAATGTTAGTAGTAGCATGGAGTTTGGAATGAACAGTGGGTGTTACATTGTACAGTGGCATTAAGTGCCGTAATATGCACCTCTGCCTTCCACTTCGGGGTTAAAGGCGTCATGTTATGTTAAGTAAATAAAAATATTCATAACTAGCTTCCGCCAGCGGCTTCGCCCGCATTCCCGTGGGATAAAAAGTGGCCTTTGTGCTATTCCAGACCACACCTAATCTGCCCCTGCCTGTCACAAATTTCATCTCGATACCTTCAGCCGTTTTGACGTGAAGGATTAACAAACACACAAACATTCGCATTTTTAATAATAGGATAATCACACACCTGGCAGGTACGAGTGGTGCGGAGTGTCCTGGATGAGCCGCGTGTGAATGCAGCGGGGGCGCGGCCGGGTCCGCGGCGCGCGCCACCACCAGCCGCACCCGGGAACCCGACGCACGCAACACTCCCGCCACTTGCTCCGAACCCATCTCCATTAAATGAGCCTGAAAGAAAAAAACTTTCGTTTTTACTAGCAATTCAGGATATAAAATACTCATATCAAGTCTAGCAAGACCATTCATTTTGAATTTTATCACATATAATCACAATAACAATTATAAACAAGTACTGTAATATTAATTAGATACTTCACAGTCATCTTTGATACATATGTGAATACCTCATATATAGTTATTTGAAAATCGGAAATCCCGGGATTCCATAATCTGCCGTTGTGTTTGCGCTCGACGAACACTACTCACCAATAAAAGACGTGCTCAATTCAAACTATAAGCGGATACCATTGTTGATATAAGTTTCTTCCTTTACAGAGCATACCTAACATACTTATCAACATACCATTCTCAACTTATAAACTGTATTCTCGGATGTTTATTAAATATACACACAATATTTTAAATATTTTATTGCATAAGGATTTACTTTTGATTTTGGTTTCTTTTGCAAAAAGACTAAACAACAAAACAAAAGAAACGTAACCGCGTTCGGCGGTAATTGGTTGTTTTATTAGAGCAGGCCAATTAGAGTGCTAACGCTGTTGCGATTCGATCTTATTAAACGTAAAACAAAAACAAACTCTTGCTGGGCCTTCAGTTTCTCATATAAGTAGCAAATAGTTCATAAAGATCTTACATCTCCTATTTGTAGGATATGATCACCAGACTTCAGCCGGCCGTCTCTATCGGCGACACCTCCCGCCAAAATAGTCTTGACAATCACGCCACTCGTCCTTGCACCAATTATACCTAAAAATTCACACAGCTCACATATTATGATAAACCTTTTCGGCAATCATAATATAATAGGTCATTTTTGAATAGTGGGCACAATAGGGATAATGACAGGGTTTCACATATTGAGTCCGTCAGCGTACCTAATAATGAAGAATTAGCCATATATTTTTGTTTTTGGTTTGTTTTGTCTAAACAAGAAAAACATAATTATCAATTTCTTGAAGTATGTACATACACTCAATAAGAAATTCATACGACATTTCATCAATATACTGCGGGAACTATTGTATGCACTAAAAAAAGAAATAACATTAGAAGTATCTAACATATTACCATATTTCAGACTCGGATCTAATTATGAGAATTTACAAAAATCAAACAATAACTTGGCTAACCCTGAAATCAGACCCAATCTCTCCATCGTCTGTTGTGCTTGGAACTACTATTGGAGACTACAGACTACAGTACCACTTTACAGTAAATTAACCCGTTGAAATCCACCCCCTAAATTTGGTCATACAAAAGTAGTCTCTAAACATTACAAATAAGGTCTATAATGTAATGTAATATTAGTGGAAAGCGGTCACCGGTGACCGCTTGGTGATTTATGGGTTAATTGCATTGTTACATTAGAAAACCTTGGAGTCAAGTGAATATTTTTTGTAATTCAATACCAATAAAATTGACAATGAAAATGTTCTTGAGCAATGACATTCAGAGTAAATAACAATAAGCCTTTTACTTCTTGAGGGATGAGACAGATGATAGGATAGGAAATTATTTTGTTTTCCAAGTAACAGAGAGACAGAGGACAAAGACAAATATGTTAAAGCATGTTTAATCAATTACCTTAAAAGGTCATTAAACTGTCAAACACCAACCGGTCACCGGTGACCGCAACCTATTGTTCTATAATTGTGTCTACAAAACCGGTACTCGACGAGTTGAATAAGAATTTGAAAAATAATTACCGAATCCTAATCCAGTGCCATCATTTACCAAGTTAATGATTTCAACCTGTGCCCAGTCACTGCCAACTATGCTGTGAGACATAGAGCCGATAGACTCGTCAGTTCTTGACAAATCCAAAAGGCCACGATTCTGAAAAAAAAATATAAAGAATAGTTATCATATTTTAACCCATTTATTGCCTACTTTTGAGTAAAATGTAACACCTACTTTTTAGACAACTATGCTATGAGAACTGAGCTTATTGTTATGTAATATACTGGGCACAATTTTAGATTCTGTACTACTATGAAAATTTTCTCATAGTCTATTATCCAATCCAGGAATTGAACCAGTACTCCATACATTATATATAATATGTTATACATACCTGTTTTGGAGACATGTTTGAGTCCACAGATCCACTGTCGAGCCCCAGAATGCGCTCATTATCAGAGCCAGAACCAAATTCAAGACTATGTGGTGGTGATACTTGGGGAACACGCTGCTCTTCCTCCCCCTCATGACTTCCATACAAGTTCCTTGCTTGTAGAGCAAGATCACCTAAAATACAATATTTTAGTATTTAAAAAATAATAAATTATATATTGACTGCCTCATTGGCCGAGTGGTCACAAGTGTGACTGTGCAGCAAGGGGTGTCAGTAGAACGGAGTCTGAGTGGAAATGTGCCTAGTATATGACAATAGGCTCACCCCCTATTACATGGGACTCATACCATAAATAGTGAAAAGTAGGTGTTACATTGTACAGTGGCATTAAGTGCCATAATGTGCACCTCTGCCCACCCCTTCAGGGATAAAAGGCGTGATGTTATGTTATGTAAATTATATATCCATAGAGTATATATTAACTTCAAAAGTAAGTTGAAACAAATAAATAATAATATCAATCGATTTTTATAAGCTTGTGTAAAAAGAAGCACTAATAAAATTAAAAATTATATTTTTTTTTTATTTTTATTATCAATCGATTTTTATTAAAAATATTTTTTTTAATAGCCTGTGTTAATAAAATAGTAATATACTAGTAAAAGATAAAGGTGGGCAGATGATGGGGTTAATATAGTCAATTGATATTCTTAAATATGTTTCGAATATATTACCTGCTGGAGTGATATCAAAGTCTCCGGGAATAATAGAAGGGTGATGTGCAACCTGAGTTGCAAGCATTCCTACAGAGTCATGGAGTGTCGCTATACTCTTTAGTATAGGACTTTCCAACAGGTTTATCAGCATATTCAAGTCATCGTTGGTGGCAGCCTGTTCAATTATATAGAACAAATAAATTATTAATAGGATTTACCTAAGAAATAATTTGAATTTACTAATACGTGGTTTGGTGTTAATTACGTAATACAATAACAAATCACAATATTGTGTAGGTACAAGGGCAAAATCTTGAAACAAGGAAGAAAACAAACAAACAATACAAGTACTGCAATATCTTGCAATCTCAAGCACAAAAACTAATTTAGAATTCAATAATTAAGTTTTAAACAATATTTTCAATGTTTATTACAAACTAATGAAGCACAATAATTGGTTCCAATTCTCACCTTTAACTTGGGATCATCACTTTGATCTACAGCTGCTTTTACACTTTCTAATTGTTGTAAAGCATTTGATATATTAACTCCAAGATGCATGCTGGAACAATATCAATACGTGTAATCATTATTTAACACACGGGATATAAAAGTTAAGACAAAAATACCAAAAACATACTTTGAAAGTTTATGTTTATTTGGTTGAGAATCACTATAGAAATATTTATTTGATTAGTCACACAAATTTATGGGTTTTCAACGATTTGTCAGTAGATTAACATAAACATTTATTAAGGTTGCAAGTTCAGCATTCAATTTACGTTTCTCATTAAAATATTTTAGTTCAAATTCTGGTCAATGATAATAAAATTATTTTTGCAGAAAACAGAAGTAAACCACACACACGTCAAAATCATAAGTGAGACCATAGATAAGAAAGTAAAAGTTAACTAGAAATATCAATGAATCTATGATGAATATAGAGAATAAATAATTAAGTTATCTTACTCTATCTCCTCTATCTACTGATGAGTGGGAGTGTGGGAGTATATTGACAAGTTTGTCTTTTTAGTATTTTAGTTCCCTCTGTGAAGTTGTACTCAGACAAAATGGTACATTGTAGAGGTATTGGCGAGGTTTTAACAAGTATTAAGTGACTCTTCTGGTATTGCGGGTGTCCATGGGCGGCGCTGATTGCTTACCATCAGGTGATCCGTCTGCTCGTTTGCCTCCTATTCCATAAAAAAAAATTAATACAACTTTTAGGTTTCTTGATATTTGGTAGATGTAATTTCTTTAACGCTGTTATCTATATTTCTATAAATACATAGGTACTCAGTATTTTTCCGTTTTCGATATTTATCTGAAAAAATGCCCACAGTCCGTTTACAGTTATTTTAATTCTGACATTATTGTCATTGCATAATTTCTGTATACTAGATGGAATTAAAAAGTAATAAGTCGTTTTTCTCAATTTTTGTGGAAATTAAAATACCTAAGCGCGTAACGTTAACCATCAAACGTAAATAATTGTTACTAGCTTTTACCCGCGGCTTTACTCGCGTTACAAAAGGGTAAAAAGTTTTAAAAAAAAAGCTAATTAAGTAGTACCTCCGTTTTGCCGTTTAAACAGGCAATAAATCAAGTAGCTTTCCGCACGCGTGGAATTCGGTTATATCGCGCTTTCTAGATTTTTCCGTGGGAATGATTCTTGGTTTTCCAGGACTCAAACTACGTTCAGCCGTTTAGGCATGAAATAACAACATATGTATAGGAGTTGTTTTCGCATTACCACAAATACCATTCTCCCGTTTCAATATATCAATCAACCTTAACAATAAATTAACAAAGCGACATGAAACGACGATAAAATAATAACTACTTTAGATAATAATATCTACCTATAAAATAAACACTTTGACTAATCAAGCCTATTATTGAGCGAGCGGAAAATTCAATCACTGTGCTAGATGCTTTCACCATAATAATATTGTTTTGGAAGCTCGGGACCTTAGTACCTTCGCCGGTACCGAAAGCTTAATGCCATCTAACTTGATCCTAATGCCATCTATCGAGCGTTGAAACAACAGCGTACAATTTATTTGCTAATTGTTGAGTTTTGTTGACGCTATGATTTCGTGTAACAATATAAGTATAAAATACACAATTTAATGTCTGTAATTTAATGACTGCCTCATTGGCCGAGTGGTCGCAAGTGCGACTGCCGGGCAAGGGGTCTTGGGTTCGATTCCCGGGTCGGGCAAAGTATTATTATTATTAGTATTACCGCCTCACCCAGGCGGGAGCAGACATTCGATGTTTTTCCATCAAAAAAATATTATTACCCTTATACTGACAATTTTTTTAATCAAAATCATAGATAATAAAATTTTAAAGTGTCACTGCACTGTCACTGCCAACTGTTATTGTGGCTGTCAGGCTCCATCTTATCTTTCTCTGTTAATTTTTATTATTTGAATAATCTAGATCTACGTCTATTTCTGAGAATCTATTATTGTGAAGACAAGTGAAATTTATATTCACCAAGAAATTGAAATCTAGTTCGGTGATTTCAAAATTATTTGTAATTTTATACCTACATAAGGAACTGAGGATTGGATGAAGAGGAAGACCACACGTAAACAAAGGTGTAAAACATAAAATACAACGAGATTAGGTTCTACACCTGATCAAAGATTGCAAAAATGGACCCGTATCCATTAAATGACGTAATTGATCTCACAAATCTTGCTGACTCGTTTACGGACGGATCACGGACCCAACATAACCCTGATGAAGTGATTGAATTAGATATAGATTCGGAAGAATCTTCCGAATCTATATATAATGATAGGGATCTATCCGACAACGTTATATGTAAGTTTACTTAGCTATATTACATGAATAATACTAATTATTATGTTCTTGTGAACTTAATGTAGGTACTTCATGTTTTGTGGGTAGACAATATTAAGTAAAAATTAAATTGAATTATGTAACTAAACATAATGGATCAAATGGTAATAATAGGTCTAACATCTATGTCTCAAGTTTGTTCTTCCAATCCATAATATTATTATACCTCTTGATCTAGTATAAAGCTAATAAATATTTACTGAAGTGGTAAATTCTTTATATAACCCTCATATTAAATATTCATTAGGTATACTTGGATATATTTTAATTTTTAAGTAATGGCGGCTGCAGAAAGACTTCCACTGCTAGACAATAGGGTAGATGACTAATTTTTATTTTAATGTCCGTCTGCTAGATTATTTGAAAACATTAGACATGTGTTTATATTTTTTTTATAGAAACAAATAGTTTCAAAGATATATTGATTTAAAATGTCGCATGATGTCACTTCTATGCACATTGTATACATAGAAATGACCTTTTAGCCCCACTCCTAAACTTTGATTCATTATATCTAACATACATAACATCACGCCTTTTTATCCCCCCGAAGGGGTAGGCAGAGGTGCACATTTCGTACATATATCTAAGTATCATTTTATTATACAACAAAATAAAAAATATGTGTCTAATGTGTTTTCATTACTTAACTGACAGACTAATTACATTTTTAATTTTCATACCCTGTTATCATCTCCATTAGGGTGGAAATATGGGGGTTATCTTGAAAGTTGGCAATTTTGTAAATAGTTATGTACTTTTTCCGATTTCTATTTTGCAATCTTGGAAAAACAGTTATTTACAATATCTTTTCCTATGCATATTACAAAAAAACTTTGAGTACAAAATTAAACTATTTACTGTTTTGTACAATTTTTATCTAGACAGCTTTTTATAAAACTAGCTACTTCCGCGCGGTTTCACACGCTCTGCTCAGCTCCTATTCATCGTAGCGTGATGTTTTATAGCCTATAGCTATCCTCGATAAATGCGCTATCCAAAACAAAAAGAATTACTAGCGATTAGAGAGAGATAAGCGCGTTCAAATAAACAAAAAACAAACTCTTCCGCTTTATATAATAGTATAAGATAAGCAGATTTGGCTCCAGAGCACCGCTAAGTCTCACTGAGCATTTAGAAGGAATATTAATTTGCAGACCCAAAATCTTACTTTTAAGTAATGTTTTATAGTGAAATCATTATTTATGAAAAAAGTTTGAATTTATTTCAAAAAATAAATGTTGTGAACGAACTATAGTTTTTTTTGCCAGTGTTTATGTGGAACATTTTATTTATAAAAATACTAGCAACTCCCGTGCGGTTTCACGCTATTGATTAAAGCGTGATGTTTTATAGCCTATGGACTTTCTCGATAAATTAACTATCTAACACAAAAATAAATTTTTAAATGGAACCAGCTGTTCCAGAGATTACCGCGTTCAAACAAACAAACTCATCATCTTTATGTAATATAAGTAGTACAAGTTTCAAATTATAAACTACAAAATCACTATTAATTACATAATAGTGAAAACACTAATACTATACTTTATATTTTACATTACAATTATTTTGCAGTTGGAGAAGAAAATACAATGGAAGAACTTATGAACCTCGAAATTTATAAAAATCCTAAGGAGAGAGCAGCAAAACTGAGAAAATCTGTAAGAAGAAGAGGGATAGAGCATGCGCTAAGAATGGAAAGACTAAAAAATATAGAGGAAGCAACTTTAAGGCTCGAACAAGAAACAGATAAAGAGAAAGCAAGAAATACAAAACGAGCTGTGAGAGAAAAATTACGTGCAATGAGAAATAAACGAGACAAGGTAAGAGAAAGTTTATATTCACTTGTTTATTATTACCTAGTTAAGTGTTGCTGAAAATAATTATTTTAAGTAAGCGACAACTAGTATTGTACCACTGGGCCACCGTATAAATTAGTAGCCTGTTTGCCTGTTCTGTTCCTAGGGAAAAAAAGTAGCATATCTAAAATTCATCCTGGTCCCTTCAGCAGTTTTGATGTGACTGAGAAAGAAACATACACATACACACAAATTTTCATATTTATAAAAGCGGTTCAAGTTAATTCCGACTATCGGCCCTACAGTTACAGCGTAAGGTCCACTGCGGTAACCTAAAATTCGACAAACTTATGTTTGCGTTCGGTATAGTAATCGTGTTTAGGGATCTAACCGCAAAATTAAGTTCTATACTATATTAAGAATGTACTTTCTCGGGATAAAAAGTATCCAGTGTGATGCCCCGGATATCTATCTATATAAATAAAAATGAATTTCCGTTCGTTGGTCTCGCTAAAACTCGAGAACGACTGAACCGATTTGGCTAATTTCGGTCTTGAAATGTTCGTGGAGTTCAGCGTGAGCAAGAAACTATAGGCGGTACGAAGTTCGCCGGATCAGCTAGTTAAAGTAGGTATACGTAACAAATTTCATCGTAATCGGATCGATAGGTTTAGCTTGATCCGTAAACAATGAACATACAGACAGCAGACAATTTTTTTTCAAGATTTTGGCTGCCAATAGAAGTCGTAGAAGGCAAATCATCCGCTAACATCGGTCACTGGTGACCCCTGTGGCGTTTAATGCGTTAATCATATTTTTGTGTTCGGTGTCTATCTAGTAATAGTAATAGTATTCCCTTCGGGCAAAATAGGCAAGTATTATATAATTTAAATAATCAATTAATTTTTTTTTGTTTCAGTGTACAATGTGTAACAATTTACCAAAAGAAACTACATTTGGGAGTTGTCCCATATGTTGGGAGGAGTTAGGGGACGAACCAATGGCTTCAACAACTTGTGGGCATGTGTTTTGCATAGAATGTATACGTAGATATCTTAGCCATGATCCAAAATGCCCCACTTGCAGACATGAGTTAGTAGGACCCAATGTATATCATCCACTTTATTTAAGCCAAGGAACATAAGTCAATATATTTCATAATTTTTTAGCACATACTGGATTAAATATTGGTCGTTTTGATCAGGACCACGGGACAATATCAATTTGTAAAATTTAAAATCTTCAATCATTTCTCGCATAAACCTGTCAAGCATTAGTGTCCCGAAATGAACTGAGCGAGCCGCTCAGACCGACTAGGAACAATGATCTAAATTGAGTTAAAATATATTTTCCTGTTGTAACTAATATCATAGTGGCCCGGAGGTTTAAGGCGCGCTCTTCTTATGCATAAGAGTGCGGGTTCGAAACCTACCAACGGCAAGTACCAATGTGACGTTTTCCGAGTTATATGTACTTTCTATGATTATCCAGACACCACTGACAAACGGTGAAGGAAAACATCGTGAGGAAACCCGGGCTTATAATTTCTAATTAAAAGTTTGAAATCGCCAACTTGCATTGAGCAAGCGTAATGGTTACTACTCGAACCTTCTCCGTACGAGGAGAGGCCTTGGTCAGCAGTGGCCACTTATAGGCTGTCGATGACGATGATGATGACCGAAACCAAAATGGTCTGTAGGCATTAATTTTTTATATATATACACATATATTAAAAAAATAAATATCGTTTTGTAAGTAAATTCACTTGTTAATCCGATTAAAACGACTAATATTTAAATTTTGGAAACAATGTTTCTTTTTTGCCAGTGCAGTATTAAATATGTTTGCATTTATTTAAAAAGTGGATGGTTAAATATAACAGCTCAAGCAAAACTGTCTTAAGTTGTGTTGTTAAAATAATGGGTGGGTGAATTACCTACTGCATAATCAAAATGGTTATAAATATCATCTATGATGGGTGTAATTAGTTTGTGTAGAATGGATTTTTAATATAAAATGAAGCTTCATTCTACATTTAAATTGAGATACACCTCGGTTGAGGTGGGTTTGATTATTTTTAGCTTACACCACCTAGAAGGTGAAATATTTAAACTTACTAAATTATTTTCAACACGCGATATCATGCAAACCACAGATACAAACAAATCCTGATAAAAATATGAAAGGAATACAGTAGAATCTCAATAATGCCGACAGGTATAAACAAATCTTATTTGCATTTTCTAGTCTTTTTCTTCATATTAGGTATTTATAGCATGTACATTAGACCTACATGAACCAAAATGTAATAGTAACCGTTAATATCTCAATAGTTGTGAAACGGTCAATGTTTCCACAGCGGTGTATTTTTATATAAATTTAAATTAAATATAAAGACTAACGATTGACACAGACAAACGGTTGACTTGTCAATCTTTTGTCCATTGATTGACAATCGAATTGAGATTGTGCTCAATAAGGATAGATGAAAAGACAACATTTAAAATATTAATCCTAATATTCCACTCAAATTCAATTAATTACGTTTAGGAAAAAGTATGTTTCATTTTGACATTTTTAAATTGTAATTGAATCACTCCATACAAATGTGGAAATAAATAAAACTAATACATACTGTTTATTAAAAAACATATGCAAGTAACTAGTAATAATAGTAATCATTATACGAGAATAGTTTAAGAAATAATTAAATGAAAGTTTAATATTTGCAACATTTCTACCATCTCATTTCCATATGATGCCCTAAAATAATTCAAATATACATATTTATTTGTCCATTATTTCTGTTTGATTTGGTGGCAGTGAATCGATTGAACTACATAAATTTAATTTTAAGATGTCGTAATTTTATATTTTTGTTGTGATAATAATTAACTAATGTGTACTTACTACTATTTATTTATTGTATGTAAATTGTTCCAAACAAAAATTTTAGTCCACTACAAACTAATAAACAGTTATTAGATTTCCAATAATTTGAAATTTAGAGGACATCAGACATGATAGTTGCATGTACGTGTATCAAGCGCTGAAAGCGATAAAACACTAATGTGGTAAATAGTTCATACAAATTACATTCATATTCTATCTGGTAATCTGGTACATAGAACGAAATTTGTATGAACCATTTGTTACAACTTAAATAAAGGTGGTGAAACATCACTTGTCTCTTTTGTACACATTGAAATTCTCATTTTTGTAGCCATGTAAGAGTATAATCGTAGTTGATAAAACTTATTATATAATTGATTTAGTACTAGTGTGTGCATGATACATAAAATATTTTTTTTATTGTTTGTGTGTAACAATTAACGATAAGTCGCTACGTTTCTTGTTTTCGATATCAACAAACAAAATTATCGTTAGTTATTTCGAAACGAAGCAGAAAGTTGATCTCTTTGACAAAACTACTTTATGTATAAATGGTAGTTTTAGTTTGAATTTATAAAAATACTAAAAACAACAACAAAAAAATTAATATTAAGGCATTGGTGTTTGCGACACGCAAGTTAAAAGATTTTGCTAGATTATAAATAACTGTATTTATTACATATGTACCTAAGGTTAAATATTAATTTATTGTTTTCTACATTTTCTATATATCTACTTGTACTGTTGCGTTAAGACGCGAATGGTAAAAATATTGTTTGACCGTGGATGTAATGTAGAGGTAACTCTTTCTTCTTCTTCTGAATGCTAAGTAGATATGTATTCTAGGTTTAAGATTCGTGATTATTCCATAACCAACTACATTTGCAATAATGGTATACACCAAAACACGATATAAACCTATTTTTCCGTGTATTGTATAATAGAGCATAAGATTTTCTTCATATTCATTCATATTGTAGACATTAATAAAGACTGATTGCAGCTGAATAAAGTTTATTCATTATGTTACAAGTAAACTTAAAATTTAAAGTGCTAACGATAGTTACATTAAACATACTCAGTCATTAAACACAGAACACATTTGCTTACAAGTAGTCCACACCAATAGCTTAATAATATCAGTTTTGATTACTGGCAACTACATTTTAATAGACCTTTAGTTATTGTCTTAATTGCGTCATATTTATTGTATACAACAGAACACTGCATAAGGACACACCGGACACACAATTTTTCATATAGAGCCTTTGGTGGTATTCAAATCAACTTAATTGTAGTGGTTGGTGGGCTTAATGCCTAAAACCGGGCTGATCAGGGCCTACTGAGTACTGAGAACATAGAGCATATTAATTAATCCAGTGCGTTATAGAATTCTAAACCCACCGAATTTACGACGCAGTCAAATTAATAATACAAATGCAGATCTAATTAACCTTCAAGCGGGCGCGCGTAGTCGAATCGACCGCGGTTAATACATTTTCGTTCGTATTTTTATTGTTAGTTGCCACATGCATTTCTAATTTTAAGTAGCCTGTCACTATCTTTTTAGGAGTAAAATAAAAACTATTCCGTTGCTTTAAGCGCTCTCTCCACTCCACAAATTACAATTGTTTAACCTCCGGCGCAGTCGTTGAAAAGACTACACGCGCCTGTCGTCGAATAGGTTACGCGCGACGCTCAACGCGATATAGGTACACATGTCAATATTATCTAATTCAGCTTGGAGTTTTGGTGTTTTAAAGCGTTTTTTTTAAACAAGTCGTTATTGGTTATCGCAAAGTGCAGTAATCGAGGAATTACAAAGAGAAGACGAAGAAGAGAGTGAATCAGAGCTTAGTAACCAAGGCTCTGAAACTTTTCATCACATAGTTTTAGAAGAACATCTATCTGATGTGATATCATCCTTGTCGGACTTAGATCAGAATAATTTGTAGCTTTCGGAAATAAATAGCTGTTTTACAGGACGCGATAAAGTTACGAAGTAGCAAAAATCTGAAAAATTCCAAGAATACTGACTCTGACGAAAATAAAATCAAAATTAAAGGGTTTTTATCATTAATTTTCATTAATTTTTTGGTCTACGTATATAAACCAACCTAACATATGTAAACGGGTCTGAATTTTTATTTTGATCCGAAGAATATATGAGTTACGTTAGGTGACTTAATAATTGCTTCTTTTTCATAATTTTAATTACTTGTTGTGACAAATTACACTTTAAAAACAATGATAATGTATCTTAGTACAAATTAATAAATGATTATCCCATAATTAATGCTTTCTTCATCTTATTCATCCCATAGGTCTATTCGGTTACGCGCGCCCGCTCCCGTTACAAAATACCGCGCGCCCGCTTAAAGGTTAAAAAGGCTTTTTTGTTACATTTTTTAATAGTTATTGTAAAAGTAACAACGTTACAACTTAGCGTCTATACTTAAAATAATGTAGTCTGTCACTTATGACGAAAAACGTTTAAAAACTTATTTTACACAGTGATAATGAGATAAAATTAAAACTATACATAGAAAATAACAAATTACTAGATAACAATTCTGCACTGCAGAAGATGACGAAAAGAACTTAAATTTTTTGGCTTCAACTACCTACTTACTTAACTGTCTTTACTGACTAAAGTTTAATAATATTATATCTCATTTACTTTGATTGTTTTTCATCAAAAAAGCCATACCATGAACTCTAAAATGCTTGGCTAAATCTTCCGGCTCCTCAAAGTCCTCTCTACAAATATTACATTGATTTTCGCGTAGAGGTTCGTTAGAAATAATTTCACTACTTTGGTATTTTATTAGAGCATTTTCATTGTAACAATGTTTTTCTTTTATATACGTTTCACTATCTGAGATACTATGTTCCAGAAGTAAGTGCTTTGAAAATGATGGCTTGACAACAAAACTCTGTCCACATTCCATACATTGATAAGCCATGCACGAGTCTCTATGTGTTATCAAATGTTTTTCTAATAATTCTTTTTGCTCAAAGTTACTACCACATATTTTGCAGATGTAACACAAAGAAGCAGGAGGTGTGTCACAGGTTATCGTCTCCACATGGGAATCTATATTTGACTGCTCATTATTAATTTCAAGAGGATCCCTTAGAATTTTAATTTGTTGGCGTTTCCCTTTTCTTTTAAATACTTTCTTGCCAATAGTTTTTTTAATGTTACGTTTGGTCAAATTCGTATTTTGAGTTCGGTATTTATTTACATCAATTCTGGTGAGGACAATTTTGGCATCCAAACATTTTTCTGTTTTATGTAGTGAAGAATAATGCTTTTTTATTTCATATGGATCATCTATAATATTCGCATTACACAAATGACACAACACAGTGTTTGTCATTTTGCTCAGAGTGGTCGTATCTGGAGTGACATCCAATTCTGTGGAACACTCAAATGTGGAAGTACATTTGTAGGGGCATTCATTGGGCAGGTTATGTATCTCGCTATACTGACATCTATAGGTGAAACTTCTCTGGCATTGATCACACCTTTTTACGACGCGGTATACTCTTTTCGGCTTACTTGTGTCTTTTAAAGACTCAATTTCCGACAGCACATATTTCACTGCATTTTGTATCGTACTATTTTTATTGTGTTTTTCTAGAAAATGCAACAGTAGAAGGATTACGTCTTTAAAGATTGAACCACATGGCCAACATGGATAGAAGACGAAAACTTTGTGACTTTTTATGTGAGTCTCTATACGACTCTGCAACACAAATTTTCCTGGACATAATTCGCACTTGTAGAATATGAGTGGTTTTATATTGTCCATTTTATGAGTCTTGAAATGGCTTTGCATACTCGTTTCACTAAAACAAGCAACAACGCAAAATGGACACTTGAAAACTTTTTTCATGTGAAGACTCTTCATGTGTTCTCTTAAATCGTTAGGATGGAAACAAATGCGACAATTAGCCGAGCCACATTTTAGTCTTGCGGTTGCTCTCATCATTTTAAAACCCTCACAGTCGTGATTGTAAGGATAATTAATATTTTTATTGCCAAGGGCCGAACCACATTCAGGGCAGCAATAAAGGGGGCATTTTAAATGTAATCGTAAATGTGCTTTGAGAGCGCATGTCGTTGGCAGTGCAAATAAACATACAGGGCATGAATAAACCTGGTTGGAAAACTGCATATAGTGACTGGCTCGATCTTTAGCAGCAGATGCTGGTGAATTAGATAGGTTTTCTTTACACTCCAAACAAATCACTTGGGTATAAATATCCCTATTGTTTGCAATTGATGGGTTATTGGACGAACTCTCTGCAGTTATTATACAATCATTGTCTGGTGGTATTTGGCCGACTATCGTTAGTTTGTTGATTTTTGTCACTTTATTGGTTGGAATGGGTTGATTGCTTTGTGTTGGCTTGTTTGCTGGTATTGCAATCTTAATGTTGAAAAGACTTAACGGTAAAGGTTCTACGTTCAAGTCAGTGACGTTGATAGTCGCAGTTCTAAAAACGTGAGATCTTATATGAAATAGTAAGTTACATCTGTTATAAAACGTTATCGTTTGATTACAATGGCGACACACATATGTAATGTTAACAGATTTGCGTGTGACGTGATCATTTAAACTGGACTCGAAGATGAATCTGTGGAAGAAATAAAAAAGGTAAATTCCAAAATAAACATGATGATATAGGTACCTAACCATAGCTACCTACAGCACTTGCCTACGTGCTTATGGTACCTATATTATATAATTACAAAGACTTACCCAAAAGAAGAGGAGTGACTGTTCTTACTTTCTAAGTGATGATACCTATGTATTGAGAAAAATAATCGCTTTTATGTAAGGTTAACAATGGCATGGTAATGGTTATGCCAGAGTACAAAAAAGGATCCTAGTTTTTCCTTAGAGCTTGGTTGGTAATTGCTACCTTGACTGAATGGACAAATGACCGCAACTGTAAACTGTAGAAATTGGTAAGTAGCAGGGTGATCGCAGAATTCACAGAGAATTTTCATGCAACAACAGAGTAGTCTGCAAGTACCAACCTAATTAACCTTTTAGGGACTAAGAATACTTCATAATGAGTAGTAGTTCATAATGGGCAGCCTATTTGATGTCAATCAATGCAAGTAAAATTAAAATTAGTGTCCAATAAAAAAACGTTTTTTTTTTATTTTCATTTTGGTTTCAATTTATTATTATTTTCCTGTTTATTAACATATTAGTTGTTACATACAACCATTTTACGATATAGTAATATTATTCCATGAATGGTTTATTATAAAATGTTATGATTTGTTATATACTTACTTGTCTAACATTTAATTTTTTATTACATTAATTATAAATATCAATAATTAAAAACACTCATTAAAAGAATAGATAAAAGATATCAAAGGTGCAACAAGATGAATTAAAAATTTGTAATAAGTTAAGTTCTTACTTGTCACCACAGTCGGTACATGAGTAGACTTTATGGCCATTCACTGGCACTGGTATAACATAATTTGGCAAAGCCTTTGTAAACAAGAGATTTTTAACACTCCATTTATCATTCATATTCTCCATGGCTTCGGTATCTGAAACAGAACAAAATGTTTAATAATTCATCGCTCAACTTTTAACACCTTAGTCGAATACAACTACTATTAATAAATATTATATTACTAGTACCTATTAGCAATATGATCACCTCTATAACAAGACACTGATAAATTAACTGGTAAATCAATATCTGCACCTCTGCTTTATCCTTCGGGGAATAGAAAATGTGATGTTATATTGTTTTGTAACCAGACTTGTAAATATAAAACTTCAAAGGTTTATATGAAGGCTGATGACAAATAATTTGGTTTAATATTCTCAAATAATGTAAGTAAGTATGTAAAATTAATAATCTAGAACTTGTAAGGATTCTAATAACTTAGTCCAATTCAACTTCTAGTCTAATAGATCTATTACAGTACTTCTCAAAACTTGAGTTTGTTGTAGGTATAGTATTAGGTGCCCAGAGTATCTATATTACTTATATTACTGCAACTAAAATAGAATTGATAAAATCACGAATCAATAACAACAAAAGAAAGCAATGGTACCATCATAATAATTTTGAAGCAATGTTTTTAATATGAATTTATCTTATTTACTGCTTTCTTCATGTTGTAGTATTCACATTCCCGAGTACATAAACCTGCGCAGAACTGGACGACTCAAACATGGCAATACCTACCTCATGCATGCAGGTGTCAGTATTAGTCAATTTTTAAATAACGCGCGTAATGGATGTTTTTAGAGATACATTGAAATTACATAATTAAATCGCTGAAAAATGGACCTCTGAACGTGATATTCGTATAATTTCAAAATTACGACCGACAGCTGACCATTTTAACTTGACAGAAAAAAAAGACGGACGCCCTCTGTCGCACATTAGAATAAAGGAAGTATCGCCAGCTGCAAAAAAGATTTTGTGTTGCCAGTGTGTCAAAAATTCGTTTGTGAAACCGAAAACTGCTTCAACAAGCAAATTATACAAGAAAGATTAATAATAAGTTAAGCCACTTCTTAAAATAAAGCTATAAGGTATCATTAATTATGGTATTTCAAGAGAATAGACACGAAATTTATTTATTGGGCATATTATGTTGGGCCAGGGCCAGGCCCATTATGTTGCCAGTGTCTGTGCTTACTAACTCGCACAAATACTAGCTAATTAAGTGATTTTACATGGCTTAATGATTTGCCCTTACTTATGGAATGCTGTTTTAACTTTTAAATTAGCTAAAATATTATATATAAAAATAATAATGCATAAGTCCATTTATAGCCTGTACAAAACAATACGCTCAAATACCCTTCCTTTTTTTCTACGATTTTAACAGTTTGCAATAGCTTTTGCAATAGAATTGCTTGTCAGTCAATCTTCAGAAAGGTAAGACGCAGGCAGATTTAATTACTAACGAAAGTTCCTAAAAACCCTATATGCACGTCAAATGATAGCATTGCCATCATTGTGGCTATCATACATTCTTTTTCTATGCGAGCCACACCTCTTTCGTTCAAAAACGTTTATTTTTCCATGTTTTTATTGTAGTAGACTATATAAATATAAATTCTTACCTTTTATTGTCGGGTGAAAATAGAAACTAAATTAAAAATAATATGTAACATTATGTGCAGCGATTTTCACATAATATTTTATTGAATTTCACCTTAGTGTAACTGGTTTCGATCTCTTCCCTCCCATCTCAATTTCGATAAAGGTCTTTATTACCGCGTAAGATAAAACAGATAATAAATAAAACTATGTATTTTCATACCGCTTGCTTTGCAGTGCTCTCTCATGGACTTGAACCTTTGCAACTGCAACCTCCAAACCGTCTAGGTACAACTAGATTAGATAGGCCGCTAGTGTGGAGAAATAGGACAAACTTTGTAACAGGAGCATGGTAATTTAGCTGTTCAGTAACAGTAGTGGAATGTATTTTAATATTACTATTACGCCTACGGGATGGTGGTAGGTATAATACTTGAAATATGCAAAAGTAAGGGCTTAAAAAACTTATCACTATAAATAATTGAGCGGTTACCTACTAGATGGCAGCACCTTCTTTATTTATAAACTATGGGACACAATAATAAAGAAGTTACCACTTTACCAGTGTGTAGCTTTGGGAGGAGAGGGGTATTGAGTCTCTGATGGACTGTGATATCACTTCAGTCCATTCATGCCGAATCCTGGCTCTCCTACGTACCTAAGCATTATATTTCTTTAAAAGCCAACGCTTCTTGCACCCATGATTTATAATATGAAAGTTTCCAAGTGTTGAGGTCCATTCTAGCTATCTAGAATGGACCTCAACACTTGGTTGCTTATCTAGCTATCCTATGATAGCTAGATAAGCAATAGTTTTATAATGACTACCATTTTTTTATGGGGGTAAATTATCCGATGTCTTTCCCCGCCTTGGGTGAGGCAGACTAATTCTTACTGATTAAAAACCACCGCATTCCTACTGCTTTGAGCCGGAGCCTCTCGATAACCCGTTAGAATGTGTGCAGCTTCGAGTCGGGCATCAGTCGTACTCTTTCCTGTGTTAGTTTAACGGTCCTTAAAGTACGGGGGGAACGCGACGCGCTGTATGCTGCTCGGGTTTCATAGGTACTCTACTACTGGAAGTTTATATACGTACTCTGCTGAGTTATCATGTAAACAATGATAAAAATATGCGTAGGAGTAGGAGCGCGGGACTGGGTTGCATGCGTATTTTATTAGGTATCTAGTATCTACTACTTTTTGTCATTTGTGGATGATACAACTAGACTATTTGAACTAGACTTCTACAACTATCTTGAGCTCAAGTTAGTAAATTGTGCTAGAAGATTTGATTCTTAATGAAAATAGTCATTCAAAAGCTTGAAGTGAAAAGTAAGGTATCCAAGGATAGAAAATATCTAGGTATATTAGGGAATTCAGAATATAAAAACAATTTTACATAATAAAAATTTAATAAAAAACATAAAATCTTTGGTTTTACAACAGCAAACTGTTATGGCACTGGTCAATAGTTATTATATTAGTTTTTATTAGATATTTTTTTTACTTTTTTTTTTATGGCACTGGTCAATAGTTATTATATTAGTTTTTATTAGATATTTTTTTTACTTTTTTTTTGTACTCAAGTATGTTTGTGTACATTAGAATTACAACTTATTAGTATTACCTCCAATAAATTGAAATCAGAGTCTAGGAACATAAAACACAAGTATAAATTGTTATCCATAGATAAATAGCAAATCAGGAAGGCCTATTTCAAAAAATTATAAGTTTTGAGAATGGCGTCAAAGTCAATATCCTGCTTCTTTCCTTGATGAAAAAATAAAAGAAGATTCTTCTCATATGTATCACGTTTCAAATAGTACACTATTTCAGCTCGGGGAACAAAAGCTTTTTCATCTACATGTTTTCTATAAAATTTGACATTTTCCAACATATCCTCATCCTCAGGCATCAGAACCAAATAACTTGCAACAGCCTCTGCAGCTTCATTGTATTTTTCAAGATGGAAATATGCTACTTGTATATAATTAAGTACATCTGCAATGAACTCTACTCCAGAGTTATATTTAAGGAACTTCAGTTTATCTTGGCATTGTTGATGGCAGTGTAAAAGAGACGCCATGTTGTTTGACATTGTTATTACAAATTCTGAGGACCATTCTTGTCCCGGTTGCCGCTCACATTCTACACGACAATTGCTTTCAAAAGCCAAATAGTCTTTTATAACTTCTTCCATGCTAGCTACTGTCTCTTCCCAGTTATTCTGTTTGTAGGATTTCTTACCTAAATTGTACATAACAACATAGTCCTCACTTTCCATATCAACTATCTCCTTAGGGTCTATTTCTGGCTGTGCTATATAATAGTGCATATTATCTTGCATGGTGTCATCATTAGGGTTGGCAACTAAGTATGTATAGGCAGCCGAAGCAGCTTTCTGGAACATCCTTTGTTGAAAATAGCATATATGAAGATATTCGTAAGGTTTCTTGGCCTGCATATCATGGAGTACAGAATCTTCAAGGCTTCTGTTAAGATTCAAATTTTTAAATTCTTTATCCTGACAAATGTTAAGACAATTCCTTTTATTGAAATATTTTTCATATATCTTCAGGTCAGCAATATCGTCTTTGATTTGACATTCATAAGTTTCAGTGTTACATTTCAATCTACAGTTAACTAGAATTGATTTGTATAGTTTGTAGAGATGCAAAGCTTCTTCAAATTTTTCAATGCACAACGACCATCTCTCTGTAGAGTAGGCCATCACTCCTTTATTGAAAGTATTTTCTAGAGATGCTGGTTTGATGCAGTTGGCATATTTAAATTTGCAAAGACAAATTAGTAACATGAAATGAAATATATATTTTCGCTCCATTTTTATGTATTTATTGTCAGCCAAATTTGGATTCTTTTTAAAACAAACCAATACCCACTGAATTTATATTGAGGTAGTAAAAATTCTGATGATGTACATGTAGAATTTAAAAACACATTGGTTCAATTGGTTGAAATAAAACTTTAATCTGAACAAGTGATGAACTTTTGAACTTTTGACAATACATTATTTTTTAAATTCTGCAAGTCAAAGTTTCAACTTTTTCGACCTACTTTTTATTGTCCATGATTCGAGTATGAGGATTTTAAGCACACGAAAAAATTTTTGACTAAAAACTGACTGACATATTTATTCAATAACGAGTTTTTGTTGACATTACAAAATCTTTAATTAAAGCATTAATATTAAAATAGAATACCCACTTAATATTTAACTCCAAAGAACTTTGGTGTTTATCGAAATCATGACTTATAACAATTCAGTTCTTATTGGAAATTGGAGCGAAGAAAGACTTAAAAATGAGGTATTGAAATGTTTCAACTTGGTACATTTTTACAAATACAATCCTATTTTCAGTACAACCGATATTTCATAATTAAAGACCATGAGATGGTAAACCGGTTATTTAAGAATATACCCAAAATGAGGTACTGCCTCTCTTTGTTTTACGTCTATCGACTTATGTATAAAGATATTCCAGGACATGCCACATATTTATATACGTACATAATGTAATACCTTCTGTTCCTCAAGGAGGTAGGCAGAGATGTAAGTAGGTACACATTCAACCATGCTGTCATCTGTTAGAAGTTCAATGGGAGTAAGTAGTGGGTGAAACCAAATACTATTAAATCATATTTTATTTCTTGCAGTACGAATTTAAGCTATTTTTAAGGAAACGCGACCGACGTGAACTGTTACTTCAGCGATCTAGAACATTATTCAGCAATTTATTGAGTGAGGTAAATTTATTTAACTTTAAACAATTTATTTCTTAAATGCTTTGCTAAAAAAAAACTAGATATTCTTTTAAATTCCAGAGGCCTTTGGCGATAAGTGGAACTTACGTGCTCTATGGATTTAATGTGCAAGTAGTTGCATCGGATATGCCAGGTACATAATCAAGCTCTACCTACCTACCAACTCTATTAAATGCTATCTCATTGGTCGAGTGGCCGCACATGTAGTTGTAGCCCAATTCTGCTCTAAGCCCCAAAAAGGGCGGCAATGTAACTTGTAACTCTTATGGTGTCGCGGGTATCTATGAGTGAGGCTGATTTTTTATTATCAAGGTGATCAATCCTATTCCATAAAAATATATCAGCTGAACAAAAGAATGGCCTGGTAAACAATCGACTTGTTGCAATCGTGCTCGTCTAGTACTAGGTGCTAATGTGTTGTTTGCTATTTAATTAACATTGAGGATTTATTACATAAATATGTGTAACAACTAAATTTAGCTAGTTGTAAGTTCCTTATAGTAGGGGAGAGCTTATGGCCATCCACCGGGTACGGTTCCTGATTCAATGCTATTACACGAGAACCAAAAGATCAGGAAATCCCTTGCTGAATAATAATAATAAATAATAATAATAATAAATTTTTATTTGGAACAACATAGGAACCATTTTGTGTTAGTATGTGTCTTTTAAACTACAACTTAAACACTAGGGTTAGTAAGTAACAACTTAAAAGGTATATTAATTAATGAGTCATGTACTTACGAGGCACTTCCTGCGGACAATGAAGCCGCATGAGATGCCTCAGCACTGGCGCTCTCGGGTCCTCAGCCACGACTTTCAGGATGCTATTGCCACTCCCCCGAAGCCTCCCCACAAGCGATGCCACCTTTTTCCTGACGATGGCCTGGAAACCATCTGTACTTAATCTGGCAAACATCCCCGAGGCACTACAGAAACGGGGGAGTCCCAACATCATCCTGAAAACATTATTATATTGGACGCGCAGGGCTCCTAGCGCCCTCCGCGAACAGACAAACCACAGACTCCCCGTGTACAGACCCTGACAGTATGCTTTAAACAAGGTTATTTTGACCTGGTCCGTACAACGGGAAAATCTGCGCGCCAGCATGTTTCCGCGAACGGCCAACGCTCTGCGTTCCCTCTCCACGTCATCATCATCTTTAAGGTCGCTGACAAGTATATGGCCCAGATACTTAAACGTGTTTACCTGTTTTATAATAGTGCCGTTCAAACTAATTGAAGGAATGGTGTCAGGGCACCTGCCAGCGGCCCTAAAAACCATGAGCTCAGTTTTTTTTACATTATATATTAGTCCATGTGATGCGGCGTACTTCTCACAGACCTTTAGCATCTGCCTGATTGACCCCGCAGTCGGCCCCAGCAACACCATATCATCCGCGTAACTAATGTTGTTTATACAGACTCCCCCCACCCGGCAGCCGACACGCATGTTGCTGAGCTCGACTATGAGGTCATTTACATACAGGTTGAAGAGCTTAGGCGAAGATAATCCCCCCTGTCTCACTCCACACTCCAACCTGTATGGTTCCGAAAGGCAATTTGACCACCTAACAC